CGCAGGATTAGTAAGCTTCTTGAAGGAATGTGTGGCTCCTCCAGCTTCCTGGCTTTAGCCTTACAGCTAGCAGCCAGTACAGGGGCAGCGCTGTGTGCAGAGGCTAGGAGCCCCAGAAGCTGGTTCCTGTTGCTCTCCTTGTTCGTGTCCTTTTCTTTACATGAGTCACTTCTTCTGCATTCTGCCAGAATAATGAGCAAGTTTTGTGTTGTACAATAATTGAAATACTTGCCAGCAGCATGGCTCTGTGTGTGTGTGTCTGTGTGTGTGTGTGTGTCTGTGTGTGTGTGTGTGTCTGTGTGTGTGTGTGTGTCTGTGTGTGTGTGTGTGTCTGTGTGTGTGTGTGTGTCTGTGTGTGTGTGTGTCTGTGTGTGTGTGTGTCTGTGTGTCTGTGTGTGTGTGTATGTGTATGTATGTGTGTTTGTTTTTTGATTGTTTGTTTGATTTTGGTTTGTCCAGAAACAAACAAAAAAAGATGAAAATGTTCCATTTGCAGCTCCAGCACTTGTAACTTTATAACAAGGAACATTTCTAAGAAGTTGCATACAAACAACATTGTGCTTACACCAACCTAAAGGTTAATACTGCATATTGTTTTCAATTAGGAATACAATAGATATGGCTGGTGGGTAGGAGAAATGAAGGGAGCCATTGGCTTGGTGCCTAAAGCCTACGTAATGGAGATGTATGATATTTGAGAGTCTGGGTAAGTACATTTTAATCCAATATTCTGTAATAGCTCTTATGTTCTCTTGGTCTCTTTCTTCTGAGGCTTTGCCTTTTCAAGTCTTTAGTTTTCTGATAACATAAGTATGATGCCCCAAATCTGTTTTTGTTTTTGTTTTGCTTCATCTTTAATTTTTAAAAATAACTAGAGAATTTACTTTGGAAGTGAATAGATTATTTAAGGAACGTCCCTTTGATGATGACCAGCTGTGTTCTCAAACCTTCTGTCTCTAGTGAAATGCCACTTTTATGGCCTTTCTTGGGAAATGAATTGAGAAATGCTGAGCAAATGTCCATTTTTATTTGGCAAAAAAATGTTACTTTTTTCTAAGCAGGAGAAATAAATCAACCTTTCTACTGAAGGAAAAAAATAAAGTAAAATGCAACTTTCCCTTTTCACCCACAGGGAAGTCTTCTGTCTGTCGGCAAGTGCTCTGGATTTGGAAACCCCCCCCACCCCACCGAGAGCCTGAGTGATGGCTCAGAGCTGCCTTCCTTTGGCTGAATATTACTGTCTCAGCTGCTGTTCTACACTCATTAAAATACCCCGGATGTCAGATTAAGCCAGCAGTAATTGATTAAGTTAGGTTCAAGCAGTAGAGATAAGACCTGTTGCTGTTTTGCAAATAGTGATTAGCATTAATTTGCCCATTTGGTTTATGTGGGAAAATTCATTGTGATTGTATGCCACTCTTAGTCACTGAAGCTGCCAGTGGGGGTTGCTATTTCTTAATCATTGGGTATCAGTTGGTTTTAGAATGTTGCATATAATTTCATAGACTTTGTAAATTTTGAGTCCATACTAAAGACTTCTTTAAAGCTGTGTGGATGACTTAACTTGTTTTTTTTTTTCATAGAGTAATAGCATGTTTTCATTTTTAAGAAGTTATGCAAATTGACAAGTTTACCTGCTCTCAAGTAAGAAAGAAAAAAAAAAAAGGCAGTAACATTACAGGTGGCAGTATCCTGTCACTTGGTACACAAGTGTAAACCAGAGCTAGGTTTAGGCAAAGTATTTCAATGTCTTAATTTGATGATGGGCTTGCCAGTGTTTTCTCCTATAATTTTATTTAAATTTAACAAAACCCAAGATTCATAAGAAAGCCCATGGTATTACCACTAATAGGTGTGAACAACTTCAGTGTGAGTTCAAAGTGTGTGAGCATGGCAGGCACTCTCTTGGCTTATGGCCTCATCATTGCTTGCCCTGGCTGTCACATCCCACTGTTAAACAGCAGTCCAGCAGTCCCGAGCAGAAAAGAAAGGCCCAGAATGGCAACAGTTACCAAGCCTGTCACTCCCCTTTCATAGGTAGTTGAAGTCATAGTATTTGTAACTGTCTGTGGAGATGCCAGTATAGCCTTACCCTGTGTCAAATGCACTAGTGGCTGGATAGTTTGCAGTAGATGTAATCTACTACTGAATCGTTCTCTAGCAAGTTCTAGCTTTTGCTTAACTTTTCAGATAGGAATGCAAATGAGCTGATTTTTTAAGTCTCCACTATTTGTGTACAACTATCTTTACAAGCAATAGTAAAGAGTGTTTATCTTACTGTTACTCTATAAATGTTATGATTACTGTTTCAAAAGTAAAAGAAAAAAATCTTAACATTAGGGATTGTGAATAAACTCAACATAGTCCAAGTTTTCAGAAATTACGTTTGTACAATTACCCTTTTCCTATTAGAGTGTCATTTAAATAGGTTAAAATCATCTTGGCAGAAGCTAGACAGGTAGAAATGAGCTCAGTGAGCTGGCTTTCAGCGCCAGTGTGGTTGAAAAGCAAACGCCTAGCCTGTGGTTACAGGTTTTGTGCCTTTAATTTAAGTGGCCAGCAGATGGCAGCAGCTTGTCATTTGCACATGGAACCACTTGGGAACCCCTCCCCCACTCGGGCAGACTTGAGAACCCGGTAGATTGCTGCTTGCTTTTCCAGTTAATCCAGGAGAGGGAGTCCTTTGCCAACTGATGGCCAGCATTCCCAGTACAGAAGCATGGTGCCGCTTCTGTCCAGACAGCCTCTGGCCTTTGTTCTTTCTTTAACTTGAATATACATGGGAGATAGAAGGTTGGAACCAAAGGCCTGTAAAATTGGGAGAGAGAAGAAAAATTACCATTCCTTGCCATTGGTGGGTGCTTTCTGTTCACTTGAACTCATCTCTGTGCTGTGAGGAAGTTTCTCTCCACCCTTGACAGTACATCACATTCTCTTCAAGATCATAATAACATCATTAATGTGAATTTAAACCACGCAGCTTGTTAGAAAATATGCTAATTGTTATGTTCTCATTATGTTTGCTTAGCTTTTATTTGTTTTTCTATGAACAGTTAGAGAGCTAATTTTTTGAAAGGTGACTGTAAGTCATATTTTATATAGCGTTTTGCTTGATCGTTTGCTCTGTACTGAATTGGTACTCTGTTGCCATTAGATCTTACAATAATGTTCCACTCTGCAAATTTTTAAGGTTCAAATAAAGTTTAATTGTTTGCAAACTGTTATGATGCTAATAATTCAACAGCCTGCTGTGTTACTAATGAAATTACTTTGTTATGATTAATTTGGAAAATAGTGTGTTGATTGTAGTAATTAAGCACAACAAGGTGAAGTAAATGATTGTAATGCCATCTGGCCTCCAAACTGAATGAAGAAATGAAATAGGACTGTCATCTGAATTTATTCAAAGAAGTAAGCATCATACAAATGACTTTCACTGCTGGCTTTTACTACTTTGTGGCATATGACACGGTTTTTTGTGTTTTGTTTTGTTTTGTTTTGTTTTATGAAAAATAGTGTTGGCTGGTCCAGCACTTGTTCAGAATACTCGGTTTTAAATTGATTATTTTAATCATAACTTAATTACAGATAATTACATACAGTATATAGGATCATGGGGGAAGAATCACTTTTCAAGCATCTGTAGGTAAACTAGATACATGTGGCTCTTTATTTTCTGTCAGTGTGTGAGCACTCTGGCTCTAGCCCTTCACAACTAGCGCAGCTCCCTCTCAGTGATTGTTGAAGTGCTGTGGGCTCTACCGGAGCCTCTCTCCTGACTCTGATACCACCTAGGGCCATGATTGGAAAGAAAACTGTGTTACACAGCAGAGATTTAGATTCAAGGTTCAGTCACAGGACAGAAACTGACCTGAAGATCTGTGTAGTTTTGAAAGCTTGCGCTTGAGGTGCTGAGGGAAGCATTGTGAGAGAGTGGATCCGGCACGGCACCTCCAGACCCCAGGCCGAAGGACAGTTGCTCTTTCAGAGTTGCCGGCCAGCTGTACAGAGCAGCTGTACAGAGCAGCTTCGACTTCCCTTGAGTTCAGATCACATGGCAGAACAGGAATGATGAGAGAAAACATGCAAGCCTTGGAAAGCCCAGCTGCACACAGACAGTATCTGTACATACCATAAAAAAAGTCTGTCAAACATAGCTTAGTCTGTCACTAAAATCTTGAGTATTTAAAATACAGAAAAACAAATCACGTCTTGTTTTTCTCTTATCATTTTAACCTGTAATCAAATATGTAGCAATTTGTCCACTAGTTGAGAAAGCTCAGGTTGTCATGAACCTACTGCCAGAATATGTTAGAATCCCTCTGATGTCAAACTTTTCTGAGACGAGGCAAATACTTACAAAGTGGAGTGATGACAATAGCATGAAATGACATTTCATTCATGCTATGTTTAAGGGACTCTCCCTTGTTTTTACTAGTATATTCTACTCTTGTTGCTTAGACATAACCATGAGTTATGGTGCAGGGCATATGCTATGTTTCCAGTAAATACCTGTGAACTGATTTGATACCTACAATAGATTAAGACCTAAGATGTAAGAAGCGGAGGAATTGATATCTGTACCCAGAAGACACTCTCTCTCTCTCTCTCTCTCTCTCTCTCTCTCTCTCTCTCTCACACACACACACACACACACTTTCTGCAGTTGGTGCATCTGTTTCCCAAGGATGCTCTTTTAGTAAATAAGCAGTCCTTTTCACTGAGGCTTTAGCAGCTGGTCCCCTAACTACATCAACGTGAGCACCGAGTTTGTCAGTAACCGAGTATAATGAGAGTGTAGATGACTTCAAAGTTGAGCTATGGCACCACCTTGGCGATTTGTTCAAGGTTGTGTGACTTTCAAATGAGAGACACAGATGGACCTTGGAGCAGACATTCTAGCTCCTCTTTCCAAACCATTCCAAGTTACCACTGCCTTCATTCCCCTTAGGTAATGTCCGAAGAGCCTCTCTTCCTATCTCATATCCTGGAAACAAGCTTTGTAGATTGTCACCTTGCAAGAATTTGATAGGAATTTCTGAGTCAAGTGTGATGGCACATGCCTGTGATGAGGCAAGCGTATCAAAAGTTCTAGGCCAACCTGGGCTACATAATAGCATCATACTATGTAAAAAAAAAAAACAATCAGTAAAGGAAAAATCCTGAGTGGAAAAGGTCTAACTATAATTTAATTATTGTCCTAAAAATAACAACAGCAACAACAAACCCTCTACCGTCTGTTCTCTCAAAAGTCTTCTGATTATATTAACTTGGATGTTTGTGGCCCCAGATGAAAAGAGCCCCTGTTGTAGATGGATAGCCCCGGCCATACCCCTGCTTAGCTTCAACCCGTAACATTTGGAATAGGCTGAGCACATGAAACACTCGTGCATACGGCAAAGCTCCGGAGACACAACTCTCCCCCGAGCCTTTCTCTTGAGTGTTTTCATAACGTCTCGACTCTGGGTGCTATTTCCCTGTTTCTCTCTCCTCGTTTCCAGAGTTTTCTTTATTATCCATTACTCAATAATGGTAATATAGTGCTGCACTTGTCTGTTTTCAGTTTATTGGCCTCAACTTCGTAATATAAAAATATCACTCCTGTTAGAGTAAAAGCAGGTGCCACGTGAAGCTTGAACAGCAATTTACCTCTCATTTGAGAAAAATGTCACACGGGTACTCTCAGAGGAGGAAATTAATGACACCAAAGCCTACCAATTACAAGCAAGTGCCTCAGACTAGGACAGGGTTCCCGCAAATAAGCCGATGCCCACACTCTGCCTTCCTCTCCCAGCCCCATGCAGTCTGTTATAAAACTGTGCAGTCTTTACCTGTCATGTACAATGTGCTGATAACAATTTAATAGTAATAGCAGACTTCACGGGATGTTTTACTGTTTGTTATACTGTGTACTTTTTCAGTTCTCACAACAGCCCGAGCACTGAGTTCTGACTGCAACTTGTTTCCCTGATTAGGGAATGTTGCCTCAGTGCCCTAGGAAATAACTCAGTAGACCAATGCAGCACCTACTCCCCTTCCCTGGAATCCAGTACGGTGGCACTGAGAAGTACTGTGAGGGATTCAAACGGTGCACACAGTAGGAGCTTTGGCAGTTGCCTGCTGGCAGTGATGACGATTGCAGCCTTACACATACGAAGTTACCACTCTTAAGCTTGGACAACCAGACAGTTGAGTTCAGCTCTTTTCCTAGTCAGAGCTAATTATGATATGTGGGAACCTTTCTCCCGGTGAGCCTCCAGCCAGGCCAAAGGTGAGTCAGCTGTGGCTGCAGGGTAGAGACAGGCCAATGAGACTCTCTGTGGTACTCAGGGGCTGGACGTTATGCACCAGTGAGTTCCCATGTACCCACATAGTACCTCGTACAAGGGCTCCACAAACCAGTTATTCTGATGTGATTTTTTAAGGAAAAAAATTATTTATCTATTTTATTGTGATCAGAGGTTTGGTGGGGTGGAGAGCAAAAGGTTAGTAGCAGAAGAGCCACCATTCACCATAGCACTTTGGAATCTAGCCAGAGAATTGTGTAAAATTAAGTCCTTCGTGGTTAAAAATATAGGTGTATTTTTTTTCTTCTGGTGAATTCTTTGAAATGTTTTCACGACTGGCACCAACAGTGTTCTCCTTTCCAAGGTACACTAAATAGCTTTGCATTGTACTGATAGCTGGGTGACATCCAGATAAGCAAACAGGTCCAGTTGGTGTACAGCGAGCTGCCCTCCACAGGTGAGGACCCTGTTCCTTCCTAATTCCCACCTCAGTGCCTGTGGTCTGTACCGTCTGTCACTCAATTCTTCTCTTGTTGATTTTCTTCCTCCTCCTTCAGCTTTCCCAAAGTCAAGTCACACGAGGCATGAGCCATGACAGCCATCATCTCTTTGTTCTCTACACTAACTCTCTACATAACTGTGGAACCCATTCCCTAAGTGTGAGCTGCAGGCCTGGCACAGCCATTGGGAGTGGGTGCTGCTGTCTTCCCTGCAGCTTTGCTTTGGCTGCCCAGCATATTTGATTCATTCTTTATTATCGTCTCTGGGCTTGCTATTTCTCTTCCTATCTAATTAAATGATTCCACTTTGAATAATTACATTTAAGTGCTAACAGCAGAAGAGGGGTATTGAAAATACAGAGTTCAACAACCTTTCCCAAGTAGATTTGTAGTCAGAAGGAAACAGGATGAAGCACAGGGAAGAACAGCCCTGTGTAGTCTTACCTTGGTGCAGCCCTTAGCAGGGTAAGCCACGGGCACGTCCTGTGACTAAGAGACATGCTCTCTTGATTTTGTTGTGTCTGCCCTTGAGTGCCCCAGGAAACAAACTGGGGGTTTTCTTTCTTGTGTATTAACACAGAAGGGGAGGACTGGCTCAGAGAAGAAGGTGGATTTTGATGTGGTTTTTTGTTTGTTTTGTTTTGTTTTGTTTTTCGAGACAGGATTTCTCTGTGTAGCTCTGGCTGTACTGGAACTCAATATGTAGACCAGGCTGGCCTCGAACTCACAGAGATCCTCCTGCCTCTGCCACCCTGAGTGCTGGGATTAAAGGTGTGGGCCACCACCTCCAGCTTTGAAGTTTAAAAAAAAAAAAAAATCCCGGACTGCTTGTAGCTACTGAGTTAATCAAGATGAATAAAGGGCTGTGTGTGAACAGTGTTGCACAGTCACCACCACTTATGGTAAACCAAGTTCTAGAAGCAGAGAGTGACTGTCATCCTTTTAGGGATGAGCCCTCTTCCTGGAGTAGTCTTAAGCCAGCAGTGAGGAGCAAAGGACAACACAGGACCTGGAGTTGCCTGGACCCCAGTCCCCTCCCTGATGGCCGCCAGGGGTGCCTGTGCATTCATCCTTGTGTTTTAGGCAAAGCTTGAGACTGGGCTCAAGGGAGATAATCTTTGGGGGGATCCAAGAAACCAGAACCGTGCCAAGCGTGGCTTTTCCTGCCTTTGAAGACTGAGGACTGAAATGAAAATGGTCAAAACAACAACTTCACTCCAAAAGCAAAGAGGAGGAAGCAAGCCGGCCTAGGCCTAGGGACTTGCTGCAAGCCGTGCCCGTGCATTGTAGGCGTTGGTAGTTTATAAGCGTTGACGCAAGTCCTGGAGAAGTTTGGAGTCCTCCTCCTATCTGAGTTTTTAAATCAAGCTTCCAAGCACTAGTCGATTTCTATGAATGGAGATTTCAAAACCGCAAGTGACCTCTGTCTGTAAAGTTTCCAAATAAACTTCTGATACTTAAAGCCCTGAGTTTGCTCACCAGTCTTTATACACATATTGTTCATGGTCGGCTGCATCTGTTAGAGCATTTTTGGATGTTCTGAAACAGATGCCCTGAGGAAAATCTTTGTGCAGCTTCCCATTGTCCGGCGTCTGTTAG